GGGCTGCGGGCCGGGGGCGGAGAGGGGGTGGGGGCGGGGATCTCGGAACGGGACCCTGGGGCGTCCTTTACTGCAAATTAAATTAGAATTCTCAGCCTTTTGGGCAGGGCGTGGCAAGTTATGGGCCCTCTCCCGGGGGCGGCGGAAATGCCATAGATCCCGCTGTCTAGGACACTCCCTAGATGAACCTAACCGCTTTATGGACTAGAAAGGTGGGCTCCTGCTAAGGGGGTGACAGGCAGCGGCTCTTCTAGCTCTGGTAGATCCCCGATTCCTGGTCAGTTGCCCTTGTTGCACTTTCACCGACTTCTCCATTCATGCCCAGCTTATCTGATATTGTTGGCTGTTATTCTGAGTGTATCCTTCCTTACTCAATAGTCGATAATGAGCCCCAGTACAGAGTTCAGACCTCCACTCTCCCGGCAGGGTGCACAGTTAACTGTGCTGTACCTATTCCTGTAGGCTGGGTCTTTTGGGAAGCCTCATTGGAACTGGCCTGGTTCTGGCATAGGAGTTAGCCTCAGGAATAATGCAGTGTCATTTGACTTCTCTCTGGCAACACCAAAGATCCATTGGAACCACCCCCTTCCCATGACCTTTGGAATCTGTGGAACAGACATTAGGTGCCTAAGATGTGGAAGTTTAAAATGTAGCCCCCATTCTTAAGAAATTTTCCGTGTATGTGCTTAAGATTTATTAATGAATTTTAGTCTTCTAGGAGGGAGGATTAGGCAGCAATTCCTTTCCCTAAAAGAAATATAAGATGCATGCTAAAGAAAAAACACACACACCAAATTATTTATGGATTAGCCCTCACTTCACTAAGTTTGGCATTTTATTTGGATGAAATTGATTCTGGACACATAGCCAAATATTCAACATTTAGTAACATTTATTCAAAACACTGTATTTTTATCAAAATACTATACTATTTTCTGTATTAGGCAGAATTCTTTTATTGCAAGTAAGAGAACTCTAACTCAAATTGGACTGAAAAAAAGGCATATATCGTACTCACATAATTGAAAAGTCCAAGAGCAAGATGCAGCTGAATTCGGGGCACCAAATCCTGGGTTATGTGCCCTTCTGTAACTCCAGGTTGAAAACAACCCTACCTGCCGAAACCGGTTTGGTTCAGTGAATAGAGCGTCGGCCTGCGGACTGAAAGGTCCCAGGTTCGATTCCGGTCAAGGGCATGTACCTGGGTTGCGCGCACTTCCCCAGTGGGGTATGTGCAGGAGGCAGCTGATCGATGTTTCTCTCTCATCGATGTTTCTAACTATCTCTCTCCTTTCCTCTCTGTAAAAAATCAATAAAAATATATTTTAAAGAAACAAACAAACAAACAAAAAACAACCCTACCTTACTTCCTGGGCATTTTCCAAAGGAAAATTGAAATGATTTTAGCATAATAGTGTGTGTGTGAGGGGCGGGGGGTGTGAAGAATGGTGACAGCTGCCAGATACTGCAAACAACAGAGGTCTGCTACATTCATGGGTCAGTTTTGAGTCCCAGGAGATTCATCAGAGAGGTACTAGATTTTTACCACATGGTATAACCTAACAAAGCATGGTTTTCTTTAAAAGGTGCGTCTTTCAACTTGTGACTTGTTGACTCATGATGCCAGGTTACCACCTAATCCGTGTGTTCTGAGAACCTTCTTTATTACAAAAGCCTAGGATCTACCTTTTGTTTTTATACTATACAATTTCAGAAGTGTTGATAATTCCTTGGCAAAGGGCCTTATTTTTCTTGCAGTAGCTCATATCTGAATGTCCAACGTTATTTCAGCACATGAACCTTTTAATACACACTGATGTGTTTCATCTGGATAGTCCTTTGTTTCCACGGGTGATTACATAGTTAAACCCTTAAACTAAATGCTGTTCTACAAAGGTATTGGTATAGCCCTAGTTGGTTTGGCCCAGAGGATAGAGCATCAGCCCAAGGACTGAAGGGTCCCAGGTTCAATGCTGGTCAAGGGTACATACCTCGGTTGCAAGCTTGACCCAGGCCCTGATTGGGGCATGTGCAGGAGACAACCAATCGATGTGTCTCTCTCTCATCGATGTTTCTCTCTCTGTCTCCCCACCTCCCTTCAACTCTCTCTCTCAAAAAAAAAAAAAAATCAATGGAAAAATATCCTCGGGTGATGATTAACAACAACAAAAAGATGTTGGTGTATGTATATATTAATATGAACAACACATATAAGATCCTTGCTTTCATGGAGCTTACACTCTAGATAATTGACATAATGGGTAAATAAGTGACCAGAGTAATTTCAGATACATATCAGTTTAATAAAGGAAGTAAAACAAGATGATCATGGAATGGAGGCTCTCAGCATCTTCACAATGGGTGGTCAGGGAGGGCTCTCTGCACATTTGGTGTTTGACCTGGGAAGACAGGCAGAGAAGGCAGAGGACCAGTAAGTGCAAATGCTCTAAGATGGGAACATGTTTGGCAAATTCAAGGAATATAAGAAAGGCCGATGGGGCCAGATCAAAATGACCAAAGGAAAGTCGTAGGAAACAGGTGTGACAAGTAAGCAGGGACCAGATCAAATGTGCCCTACATGTCATAGAAAGTATTGAGGGTTTGTCCTCTTTGTAATGAGTAGCAGTCGGAAGGTTGCAAGCAGGAGAGTGACCTGATCTAATTTTGTCAAAGCTCCACCTGGCCATGTGTGCAGATGGAGTGTAGGGAGGCCACATGGAAGCTTAGAGGCTGGTGGGGGACTGTTGTAGAGGTCCAGGTGGCAGATGATGTTTTGGACGACGTAGCCGTGATAAAGCTGAGAAGTGAATAAAATCAATATGACTTGGAGGTCTAGCTGAGCGTTTGACTTGAGGAAGGGGGGCAAGGGGAAAGGAATCAAGGCTGAGTGGACTCCTAAATTTGGGGTCTGATCAGCTAAGTGGATGGTAGGGCCAGTGAGGATTTTCAGAAGCACAAAAAATTTCATTCTCTTCATTGTCTTGCTATGTGTCTTTCAGGCACGAAGTCGTCAACATCAACCTGAAAAATAAACCTGAGTGGTTCTTTAAGAAGAATCCCGCTGGTCTGGTGCCAGTTCTGGAAAACAGCCGGGGTCAACTGATCTGCGAATCTGCCATCACTTGTGAGTACCTGGATGAAGCATATCCAGAGAAGAAGCTGTTGCCAGCTGACCCCTATGAGAAAGCGTGCCAAAAGATGGTCTTTGAGTTATTTTCTAAGGTGTGTATGTAAGAAATTTCAGTTCCTATTTGAAAACCATTTGTTTATTTAAGCTACATCAGTGGTCATGTGTGGCTCAGTAATTTTGGAAAGGAAAACAAAACAGGACTATACTCTGCAAGCCCTTTCTTGATCGGTTCCTGTTTACCTCTACAAAGGTATCCCTCTGCTGACACACTATATTCCGGCCATACTGAATGTTTCAGTTTCCCAAACTCACCACCTTATCAACTCCTGCTGGGAGACCCTTTTCCCTTCTCACTTTGCCTGGTTTTCTCCAAATCCTCTTTCATGTATGTGCTCAGATACCGCTGCCTTCCAGAAGCTTGTCCAGACCGTGTGCGTGCCCAGCTCTGTGTTCCCACAAGTACTAACATTGCCCTGTTGGTGACTGCCTGCCTTAAGCCTGTGAGTTGTACCAGGGTGTGAGCTCCTTGAGGGTGAGGGCAGTGTTCGCATTACTGTTGACTCACTGCCTAGATTTGTGACCAGCTCTGCCCCTTCCAAGTTGTTTAACTTGCTAAGTTACTTATTGCTTTACCTCTGTGTCTCAGGTCATTATTTGTTCAATGAGTATAATTATGTCTTCCTTATACATAAAATCAGTTAATCTAAAACATGGAGAGCAGAGTCCAACACATGGTAAATCTCAGTGTTAGTTCTTGTTCTAGCGAGTGTCTAGCAGTGAGCTTGTGCTCTGTGCCGGCAATAACTCTCAGCTGACCGAGTA